CGGCCGCCGCCGCCCCACCCCCGCCGGCGCCCGCCCAGACGGCCCAGGCCCCCGGCTTCGTGGTGCCCACGCACACGGGGGCGGTGGGCACGCTGCCACTGGGAGGCTACGTGGCCCCGGGCTACCCCCTGCAGCTGCAGCCCTGCACGGCTTATGTGCCGGTCTACCCGGTGGGCACGGTAAGTGGGGCAGACCCGGGCCTGGGTGGAACACGCTGGGGACTGGAGGATAGAGAAACGGGGCCAGGGACCCAGGAGTGTCCCAGGACTAGCCGGGAGAGGCGGAAGAGACTAGGAAAAGGCCTAGAAGTATGAGTGGTGGGATCGGAGGGTCTATGGGGCCAGAGAAGAGGGCCTGGTGGGGAGAACAGAGCCGAGATCCGGAGGTGGCCCGGAAGAAAATCGCCTTTGGAGAAGAAATGGCACCTGGGAGCCAAGGGAGGTGAGGGAGATGCAGCCTGGGACTAAGTAGGAGAGGCCTCGTAGGTGTGTGGCAGGAACAAGTGAGGTCCCAGTGAAGCCAGGACTGCGCCGTGGGGCCACGTCTTAGGGGGCAGTGCGGAGAACCCCCAGGAACACGAGGGTTAATAATGCGACGAGGGGAAGAGGGGCCTGGGTGGGATGTTTGGTAGGGTAGTGGGTCATTTATTTCTTAGAGATGCAGAGAGTCAGAACTGTGCTTTTAAACGGGCTCCGCCAGCTTCAGAAGGCCGGCGGGCTGCGGGAGTGTTGGAGCGACGTCCCTTCTCCATGCCCACCCCACTTTCTTTCCACAGCCCTACGCAGGCGGGACCCCGGGGGGAACGGGAGTGACCTCCACTCTGCCCCCGCCGCCGCAGGGCCCAGGGCTGGCCCTGCTTGAGCCAAGGCGCCCTCCGCACGACTACATGCCCATCGCGGTGCTGACCACCATCTGCTGTTTCTGGCCTACAGGCATCATCGCCATCTTCAAGGCAGTGCAGGTGGGGCAGGGGCTGGGCGCACTCGGGTCGTGGGCCCTCGCAGGCCCGGGCGCTCTGGGGATCCTCGCAGGGCTGCTGAGAGGTATGGGCGAAGCGGTTCTAGCCCCCTGCCCCCTCGCCTGTAGGTGCGCACCGCCTTGGCCCGCGGAGACATGGTGTCCGCCGAGATCGCTTCACGCGAGGCCCGGAACTTCTCCTTCATCTCCCTGGCTGTGGGCATCGCGGCCATGGTGCTCTGTACCATCCTCACGGTTGTCATCATCATCGCCGCGCAGCACCACGAGAACTACTGGGATCCCTAAAAACTGCCGCGACCCAGCGCCACTCTACGCCCCTCGACCTCCCAGGCACATTCGGCAGTCCTGTGCGGACCCAAGGGGCGTCCTGCACCACCACCTCTGGGGCCGCCGGACTTCGATACATCCTAAACTCCGCCTCCGTGGAACCTCTCGCCCTGTGAGCACGCTCCGAATCCAGTTCCTCAGGAACACCCCCAAAGCCCATACCCCCAGGAACGCTGCTTTCCGGGATCCCCCCCAAACGCGGGGCCCTAGCGTCGCTCCTGGACCACACCCCCTGCAATGCGGCGCACCCAGCTGCGCTCGCTCGGTCCAAGCTTCCCAGCCTAAGGTCTGCTCCCCAAAGCCCCGCCTCCCCATAGGCTCCGCCCCAGCTCTGACAAGCCCCGCCTCCAGGTCGGCAGGCCCCGCCTTCTTTTCCTCTCGGCGGGTCGACTCAGTCCGGCGGTCCGGCTTGTGGCTCCAGGCTTCGCCCTCGGACGGACAGACACTTCCCTTCTCCTTGTCCGGAACAGAGAAACGAGCCCCAGGGCGATCACGTCCCCATGCTCCACCCTTTTTTGCTGATAATGTAGTTTCTCTCCTCCACCCCACAGCGCTCTGCCTATTTTCTTGCTAATCCTAGAACCTCTCCTTTTGTCTTTGGAATGAGATCTGGGAGGTTCCCGGCTTAGAAACCTTCACCCTGGTATAAGAAATACGTCTGTCTCGTTCTCTGTAAATACACCCTTCCACCCATCCCAACCCGGTGATAGCCTTGCAGACTGGAATCCAGGACGTGGACCGGGAGAGAGCGGGTCCCCTCCCCGCGCCCCTCGGCGGTCCCCGACTTGTTCTGATTTGTGTTTGCGTGCGTGTGTGAACTTTTGAAAGACGATATTAAAGAGACTTCGTGGATTTATCACCCGCAGTTCCAAAGACTTCGGCCCCATAGAGACCTTGCGCTTTTGTCTTCACTTTTCATTTCCCTTCATCTTTTTTTTTTTAAAGAATTATGTATTTATTTAATTTGACCAGAGAAAGAGAAAGGGAAAGCAGAAAAAAGTAAACCTCCAGGTCCAGGATTCGAACCGTGGTCGACCGTGTGGGAATCCAGCACCTTAACCACCATGCCACCTGTGGCCCCTCCCTTCATCTCTTACAGGGACAAAATAAGAAAATCGGAGCCCAGCAGATGGCAATGGTTATGTCGCTGGACTCCCACGTGGTGGACTCCGCTTGGAGCCTGCGGTGTGTGCCCACTTCCCAAAATCCCAGGAGGAGGAGGGATTGCAACGCGGCCATTCCGTCTGGGGGGTGATTTCTCACTTTCGGTTTCTCTGACCCTTCAGCAAGCACACAGGCCCTATAGCAAAAATCCCCCTTAAAAAAAAAAAGGAAAAGGGACAGGAGACAAAAATGGGAGGACACAAATATGGCTGATCAAGGAATCTGCCAAGGAAGACTTTGGGGTCCATCCCCAGCCAGGCTTTCTTTCCCCAGCGCCCCTTCCCCATTCCCTATTAGACTGGGGAGACAGGAGATTTACAAGGCGCCCCAAGGATCTCTCTCTAGAACTCAGGAGGAGAGGACCAACTATTGTGAAATTGGTTAAGAATAAGGCCACAGGGCGCCAGCAGGTGGCATAGAGGTTAAGGCTCCAGACTCCTGCATAGCCGGCGGGTTCGAGTCCTGGACCAGGAGGCTTGAAACTCAGGCTGGGCACACATATGTGCCCAAAATCCCGAGGGGATGAGGGGAGAATGAAGGAGAAGGGATTTCACCCGGGCCAGCCCCCCAGGGGTAATGTCTCACTTCCTCTGTCTCTTGGGTGAGTACACAGCAAAAAAATCTCTCTGAAAAAAAAAAAAGAATAGGGTGACAGGAGCAGGGAAAAGATGGCAGCTGACCGTGGGCCGGAGGGTGGCAGAGGTCTCGTGTCAGAGTCCCACGTGAAGTATTGTGTGGCATATGGGAAAGAGAGCTGAGCTGTGGGAGGCCTGAGGAGGAAATCCACAGCCTCCCACCTCTCCCTGGGACCATTTGTTCTCTCACCTTGAGGGTAACCAGACCTCTTTGGGAAGAGGGATGGTGGCTGGGGGTGGCATGAGCAGTGGGTTTGGTACGTGGCCAGCTGTATATCTGCAGGACAGGGTCCTGCCCTGAATCTGTGTGGCCCTAGCCCAGTCAGGTTCCACGCAGGGTGCTGGTGGGGCATCTGCCCAGACAGCTCCTGTGACCCCTGACCTCACAGCTCGCATGTAAGAGGGAACCTCAGAGGAGAATGGGGTGGGGCATCAAGAGCAGTGGCCTGTTCTGGTTTCATGTGCCTTTTTTACCAAACTTCTGCAAGTAAGAATTCTCGTCTGCGGGTCAGCATGTACACAGAGGTTAAGGCACTGGATCCCACAGGGCCAACAGTGCTGTTCGAGTCCTGGATCCAGTGGCTTGAAAAATATACTAAGTTCACGTACACGCGTGCCCCGAATCCCAAGATGAGAGTGGAGGATAAGGAACAGCAGTGTGGCCACTCCCCCTTGGGTTGATTTCTCATTTTCTCTCCCTCTGTCTCTGTCTCTGGTAGGTGCACATGCCCTACAGCAAAACGAAAAAAACAAACAAACAAAAAAAATCACATTTGCATCTTCTGCTTCATCCCAGTCACTTTCTTTTTCTTAAATAAGAGCATGTTGAGGGACCAGCAATTGGCGGAATGGCTATGTCACTGGACTCCCATGTAGTTGACCGCTGTTCGAGTCCCGAACCCAGTGGCTTACACTCGCTCCGGGCGTGTGAGCGTGCGTGCCCAAGATCCCGAGAGGAGAATGGAGGAGAAGGGATTGCGGTGTGACCATCCCCCCTGGGGGGTGATTTCTCGCTTTCTGTCTCTCTGTCTCTGTCTGTCTGGCGAGTACACGCGCCCTATAGCAAAAACTTCTCAAAAAAAAAAAATAGGGGTGAATTGCCATCAGAGAGAGAGACGTGTCCCTGTCTGCCTTTCTCTCACACCCACTATTTCTGAACTCCTGGAAGTGCTCTTTTAGTCCCTAATCTGATAAATCCATTCTCTCAAAGAGTACCCAGTGATCAGGAGTCACCCAGAGCCAAAGTGAACGGCGTTTTCATAGTGCTCTACACCCAACCTTTCTCATGCTGTCCCTGGACCCTGGACCCTCCACACTGCAGGTTCGGTAACCCGTTACCTCTCCTCCTCCACACACCTCTAATCACTCCTCCTTCCTTCTCCCAAGTTTCTATCTCTGGATTTTGTTCTTTGTCTTAGACTTGCCATTGAAAATCTTTTTTAAAAAAATTATTTTATTGGAGGCCAGCAGGTGGCGTGGTGGTTAAGGCACTGGATACTCCCACATGGCCAACCAGGGTTCAAATCCTGAATCTGGTGGCTTGCTTTCTCACTTCCTCTCTCTCTCACTCTCACCCTCTGTCTCTCTCTGGTCAAATTAAAATATAAATGAATGAATAAATAAAATAAATAATTATTTTTTTAAAAAAATATTTTATTTAACTTTATTTATTTACTTACCTTAATTTGACCAGAGAGGTGCATAGCGAGAGAGAGAAAGAGAGGAAAATTGAGAAAGTAAGCCACCAGGTCCGGGACTTGAACTGTGGTCAGCCACGTGGGAGTCCGGTGCCCTTAACCACCACACCACCTGCCAGCCTCCTTCCATGGCAGATCAAATCCACTCAACTCAGATAACCAACTCCACTCACACTCTTCCTCCCCCGCCCCATCTCTGTCTCTCTCTGGTCAAAATTGAAGTATAATGATAACAAATAAAAATTTACAAATAAATAAGCGCAGTGTGTTCTAACCTGAATTGATGAAATGCCGTCTCTGTTAAGAGCACGGCTTCCGCAGTCATTCTTGCTGAGCTGAGAACTGGTGGCCTCCACCTCCCTCCTGCTCCACCTCTGCTGTGCTTTCAAGCGAGTCAGTCAAGCCACCGCGTCCGAGTCTGCAACTGCTCCCCGGCGCTGGCCAGAAGCATGACCTCATGTGGGCTTATGGCCGCAGCTTCCCCGAGAGGTCTTCCTACTCCCTCTACTCCCTCTCCCTACTCCAAGGCTCCCTTGACACTGTCAGATACTCCTCCCCAAACACACTTCTTATAGAACACCACTGCTCCAAAGCTTTAAGAATCTCTTTTACTTAATTGTTTACAAAATGGCAATCTGGCCTTCAACCCCTTCCACCATTTAAAACCTCTGTCCAATCTGCAATCATCCGCAGCCAGACTGAATTTGCTAATTCCCACCTCCAGGTCTCAAATCTTAGACTTCCTTCCCCAGTCCCTGCTGCCTACTATAAGCAGACTGGTTTGTTTTGTTTTGTTTTTGGAGAGGTTTTTTGCTATAGGGCACACGCAATCGCCAGAAAGACAGAGAGACAGCACGACAGAAAGGAACAAATCCCCCCCCGGGGGGATGGCCACACCACAGTCCCTTCTCCTCCATTCTCCTCTCGGGATCTTGGGCATGCACGCACACGCGCCCAGCGTGAGTTTAAGCCACCGGATCTGGGACGAGAACCACAATCGACTATATGGGAGTCTAGTGACATAGCCATTACGCCCACTGCTGGTCCCTAGCCAACTGGCTTGTAGCTCCCCAGACCAGCTCTAGGGTTTTGCTCACCATGTTCTTCCCCCCTTCATATCTACCTATCAGTCAAATTTTTGCTGTCCTGAAGGCCCAGATCAATTCATCTCTCACTGCAGCAAGGTCTCCTGCTCTCTGGGTTGGATTCAGATAGTGGGTTTCTTTTGCTTTTTTCAAGCTTTATTAATTTGTCGTTATAATTTTTTAAACAATTATTTATTTTCTGGAACCAGCAGTTAGCATAATGGCTATGTTGCTGGACTCCCACATAGTCGACCGCGGTTCGAGTCCCGGACCCGGTGGCATAAACTCACGCCGGGCGCATGTGCGTGCGTGCCCAGGATCCCAAGAGGAGAATGGAGGAGAAGGGATTGCGGCATGGCCATCCCCCCTGGGGGGTGATTTCTTGCTTTCTATCTCTCTGTCTCTCTCTGTCTGGCTGGCGAGCGCACGCGCCCTATAGCGAAAACCTCTCCCCCCCAAATAAAAGAATTATATATTTTATTTTATTTATTATTATTTTTTAATTTGAT